TGCATTGTGAGTTACATGTTTTGGGTGTTCTATGAACCTGCACAGTTTTAAAACTTTGTAGCTACTTCTTATGCTTGAACAGTCCCGTGCATTCTGAGTATCTATCCAGTTGAAAGCACTTGCTCACTGAACAGATTTACAACATGATGATTATGTATACTTGTTGAATTTGAGGTTTACTGAACATGACGTGAAGTATTTGAACCTACCCCTTCCCCTAACCTGTCACCAAAGTTTTGTTTCGTTTTGTTAAGATTGCTAATCCCAGTGATTTATCTGGCCCAGGACAGGTTTTATTTGCACTCCCTTATGAACGTGGTACTTAACCTCTGAGTTCGTAAAAGGCAGGGAATTTCTTGATAATATGAGCAACTATTGCCATCTCTAGGACTCTGCTGCATGTAGCTCACTACATGACCCTAACAAACCATTTGTCCTGATGATGGAGGCAGCAAGAAGTTCTGAAACACTGGTGAACTGCTACTAGGCTTCATGGTGCAACATCCCAGAAAAGTCACGTTCAAGCCATCGTGAATTAATGCACCTGGGCATTGTATTGTACACACCCACTCTCACCCATCCACCTGCATGTTGTTTCATTGTCATCCATTCACGGTAGATTAGAACTTTCTCTCGACAGTTACGGAACTCTTGAACGCACAATCTTTTATCACGACATCAGGCTTAGTAGATCAGTGTTTTATGTAAATTCTGGGACTCGTTTTCCTGTCATGTGCTGCTGTGGTGTTCTTTCTGCGTACCTGCAGTAGTAATTCTGTTCATTTGTCCAGAGAGACTGGCTCATCTGGAGGTGAGAGTCAGGCCAAGACGCTGAAGAGCCTGATACGCAACATTGGCAGCGGCTTACCAACCAGTCCGATTCTTAGTCGCAAGCAGTCTCACCAGCCTAGTTCGGGTAATGCAGTTTACTTGTAGGCTGTTAGGGTTCAGATCTGTATTACTTGTGGCCATTGCATTTTAAATACAAAGAAAGTTTCTGGTACTCGGGATTTGATGTGAGTGTGTGGGGAGGATCGCTGTAGTTAACAAAGAACTTAAAAGGCATTGTCAAGGCATCCAGAATTTATTAAAATTATTATCTTTGCAAAATTTATCTTATATTTATTTTAGCTTTATGTTTCTTTGTATTATATTGACAGGCTTCTTATTATTTTAGTTTTGTGTTACGAAAAAGGAATATTGGTGCAATGTGTTATTGTGTATAGCCAGAAAAGTAACTCTCTGCTCTCCATGCCTATTTTTGCTTTGTATATTTTCGATGCAGTCCGTTTATTGAAGTGCAAGGAAAAATTCTTCCTGACTCCATGATGGGTTTATCGGTAGTGCAATAAATGAACATCAGTTCACTGAGAAAATGGGTGTTCTCCAAAATAGACAATGTTTTTGCTTGTATACGTGATAAAGCTAAGTGGAAACAATTTGTGCCAGCAGGTGTTGGCAGAGTTAAAATAGGGGGTTCAAGTAATGCGGAGGAGCAGCAGCAGTTGAAGAAACACGGTGGTGTAGGTAGCAAGCAGCGGCAAGGCTCTCCGTGGACTGGTTCAGGGAAGGTGCTGGGTGCAGAGGGAGCAGTCAGTAAATGTCAGAGCGCTACAGAACAGCACACATCCAGACCCTCTCGTGACCCTTCCATCGAGACTTCTGATAGAAGGGGCAAGCATCAGCAGCAGCCAGTCACTTGTCAGGTTGGATCAGCATTAAGCAACACAGGGGCATTTCTGCTACTTAGTCAGGTAAAGAATTCATTTTTGTATAATCTGGTAATTCATATTTTTATATCACCCTTTTTTAGTTTATTTTCCAATGCGTGGTGTGGTGAAGTGTCTGTGTGTGGTTTGGTGTTGCTCAGGCGACACAGCGGCCCAGTGAGCAGGAAGCAGGCCCAATGCAGGCCCTCCCTCTCCTCACATTATTCGTCAACAGTATGGGCCAGAAATTGGTTGTTTTTCCATACAGAGAGACAGTAGATGAGTCAGACTGTCAGTTCCGAGTAACACCGCACGAACCACACAGTGAGCATACGGTTAAGGGCCTGAGGCTTTTGTGCAGAAAATAGATAAGGGAATGGGGCAGGCTGATTCATGGATTCAAACTGGAAGTGTTGTTAAAGAAAAACTGTAAATAAATAAGCAGGGAATTAGAGTGCGCTGGGATCAAGACAGACAAGTAGGTGGAACTTGTGAGCACCCTTGTGCTCATATTATTCATAATAAAGTCTTTACAGGTTTGTAAACTTGTACAGAGCTTCGCTGAAAGGATATTTCAGTTCCTCACTTAGCGGTAATGATACATCTGAGGATTTTGCTTGGTGATGGCATGTATCTATTTCATTAGTGAAAGGCCTAGCAGATTGAAAGTGATTTAACCATATTGATATCGTTAATATTTGTGTCCTGTACTTGAAAGAATCCTTAAAAATGAAATAACCACTTATGCTTAGTCATGGAATGTACTGAGAATTGTGTAAATCAGATAAATTCTGCTATATGATCTGTGTTTAGACTTGATTTTGTCATGTCAGTTGAATGGAAGGTTATTAGTTTTCGAAACAATTTGTGAACTGTGATCCAACAGGAACAAGAGAACTTAACAGGATGATTAGGTGACGTCCAGCTTCATGATGAAGTATGGTAACAGTGAAACTGTTTCAATGGTTGTTCCGGCAGGATGAGTACCTCGAACATCGTGCTCCAGTCTGCCACTGTCGTTTCAACACTTCAGGATCCACCGTCGTGAGTGCTGATGTCGATGGCGTTGTGAAACTCTGGACTGTTACGCCGACCCCAAAGTAAGTCTCTTCTGGTGTTTGTTTGTGCATGTCATTAACCATGTAACGTCGTGACTTTTTTGAAATTCAGCGTATAATGATGATATATTTGAGAGAACCTGAACATATTCAGAATATCTTTGTTAGTGAATGTGCACCATTTAATATGAATAAGCAAATTATCATTTATTTAAATAAGTTTAGTTGGGAAGATCATTTGAGACTCTGCTTATGTAAAATGCATCAACCTGATAGAAAATGTGTCTAATGCAAATTGTCTTTCAGAAAGGTATAATTTGAACAGTTAATAGTCTCCTCCTCCTCCTAGCATTGTTTCTGTTTTATACAAGTTAATGGAATGCTCAAGTGTAGACAAGGAAACGTTTCTGAATTGGAAGTTCGTTTATTCCAGTTTTCTTTGCAGTCACCATAATATGTAATTTTGTAAGACTTGAGGCTGGAGGATGCTGCCTACGCTGCCCTGGGCAAGGGCTTGAACTATGCGGTAGCACCTACAGTGCTGCCCATCGAGGATTTCCTGAGCGGTGTTGAGAGAGCTGTTCGCTCCCTACCTGTGGAAGCAGCCGAGGAGGTCCGGCAAGAGACCGTGCGGATCCTGAGAGCCTCCAAGAAGCCGAAAGACAATCTGTCCGGAGCTGAAAGGAGAGCTCTCCGAGCACTGCGGAATAACGCGGACCTCACGGTCCTCCCGGCAGACAAGGGTAGCGCGACGGTTGTCCTCAGCACTGACGACTACAACGGGAAGATCCGAGCCCTTCTGGAAGCCCCTACGTACAGGCTACTGTCTAAGGACCCTACGGAAGCCGTTGAAAGGAAGACCAACCTCCTTCTCAAGAAGTGTTCATTTCCAGAGGAGGTCATCCAAAAGCTACGGCCCCAGGGTTCGAGGCCCCCTAGACTGTATGGGCTACCCAAGATCCATAAGGAAGGAGCTCCCCTCAGGCCCATCGTAAGCACCATCGGCGCTCCAACCTACCGGCT